ATCGGTTAGCAACCTTCCAAGTTACCATGGATTTAGCGCAAAGTGATCGATTCAAGCGTGTCTGGTTGCTTATAGGGAGAAAAATACGCTGAGCTGTTGACCATTCCTAGGCCCCAGACACCGTGCAAGCCGAGCAGTTGGCTGGTGCGGAGCATGGGCGCAACTGCTGACCTTCCTAATGGCTTCATCTGCGCATACAACGTATGCGACCTCGGCTTATACTTACAGCTGTGGACCTACGGGGCACAGGAGCCAAAGATCACCTTTCACACTTACGTGAGGGGTGTCATTTTCAAGCAGGTAGACCTCTAACACAGGTAAGCAACGCTGCTGTAGCAGGTCACAGGTACTTACGCTCTTCAGTGCCAAACCAACAGCCCAGCTAATTTTGAAAGCCCTCAAAAAGAGTAAAGACTACCAACTTACTTGGATAGCCTTTCGAAGGTTTCCACACTCAAACCGCGATTCAAATTCCAGACTGTCCTTCTCGGAATCGAAGGTTCCGGCACTGAGTGAAAGAAAAGGAAATTCACAGGAAGCGTAAGTAGCTTGAACGTAGAAAATGCAAACTCCGCCTTCACACAGTTGGGAAAGGTAGCTTTACTGATTCGGTACATGTAATTTGCGTGGATAGGTAGAGATGTGTACATGAGTGTTATGTAAATAAAGTATTATGGTTCTAAATTCGTTGAGCAATACGTAAACACAAAAGATCAAATTTGTTCGGCATCTGCTAATATATGGTGGTTACATGCTCCCCTTGAGTTGTCCACTAAAAGAGAATTCTGGCAGTGAAAAGTGCTGCGATATATATAGGCGGAAGTTTGAATGGTCATTCAGTCAGCAGTCGATAAGCTTGCACAGCGAAAAAAACTGAATTTGAATACCACATGCAAGTGTTCAGAGGAACAATTTATACGCCAGGGCACTGCGAACATCAGAGAAATAAAATAGGTGAATTTTGATACCTAAAAACGGATGCACGCAGTATTACAGTAGTCGCCGGTTATTAAAACCACGGTTAGCGGGCCCAGCCGCGTATTAAGCCCAAATCAGATTGGGACGGAATTTTACATAGC